TTGTTAAGTCACTTCTGAGGCTGTGTCATGCAAAGAATAGCACTCACCTTGTTTTCTAAATCTTGGAATCTCTTGTTCTGGTTGAAACCAGCCACCATGTTGTGAAGATACTCAAGCAATGCTGTGGAGAGGCCACATGGAAAGGAAACAACTTGCCAGGAAAATCTAGCCACCTGGAAAGCAGATCCTTCTGCTTCAGTTAAGACTTCAGGTGAGGCCGGGCACAGTGGCTCATACCTATAATCCCAGCACTTTGGGAGGCAGAGGCGAGAGGATTGCCTGAGCCCATGGGTTCGAGACTATCCTGTGCAACATGGAAAAAAGCTCGTCTCTACAGTAAGCCAAAAAATAAGCCAGGTGTGGTGGCACATGCCTGTAGTTCCAGCTACTTGAAAGACTGAAGTGGAAGGATGGCCTGAACCCAGCAGGTCGAGGCTGCGGTGGCTATAAGCGTGTGACAGAGTGGGAGAGTGAGACTCTTACTTAAAAAGAAAGAAAAAAAGGAAAAAGACTTCAGGTGATTCCAGATTTCCAGTCTTTAAGTCTTTCAGCAGAGTAATAGGAACAGACAAACCATCCCTGTTATGTGCTGTTTGAATATTTGACCCACAGGAATCATGAGTTAATAAATCATTTTTATTGTTTCAAACCACTAAGTTTTGGAGTGATTTATTATGCAGCAATAGATAATACAGAGGAGTCAGGCAGGAGAGAAATGAGGAGAGTTTGGTAAGATAAATTTTCAAAAAAAATCCCACCCTACTAGTTCTGTCGTTAATTATTGATAGATACACAGTACTTCCAGTATTTTTTATTACATTTTAAAAAATTGAGATGTTATTACATACAATAACACATATAGATCTTAAGTATTGTTCTGTGAGTTCTGACAACTGTTTGCACCCATATAACCACCACCCATCCAAGATATAGAAGACTTACTTCCATCACCCAGAAAGTCATCCCTTGCTCCTTTCTAGTTAATTCTCTCATCCTAGCTCCACACTTAAAAAATTATATTATCATAAATTAGTTTTGCCTTTTTTGATCTTTATATAAATGGAATTATGCAGTTTGCATTATTCTGTGTCTGGTTTCTTTCACTCAGCACACTGTTGAGTGTGATTCACCCAAGTTATTGCCTGTGACAATGGTTCACTCCTTTTCTTATTGGCAAATAATATTCCACTATATGAATATTACCATTTGTTTGTATTCTTCTTCCTGTATTTTGTAATTAAAAGCAATTTAGTTATTTCTACTTTATCATATACAATGGAAACATCAAAATTAAATGTAGAAAAATTTGATATTATAAATAGCATCTTATAAATAGGCAAAATGTATGATGCAATGATGAATAGTTATTATGTCTACAGAATCTCTATAGAATGAGAAAGTTACAAGTCCTCTGTTGATCATAAATAGTTATGAAAATACAAACTGCCATGTAGTAATTATAAATGGGTCAGTTCTTCTGGGAAAAAAATTAAGCTAAAAGACACATTTAGAATTTTTGAGTTTTGAGGTGTTTTATTATGCAGCAATAGATAATACAGAGGAACCAGAAAGAGAGGAGATAAATTAGGAGAGTTTGGTAAGATAATTTAAATTTACAAAAAATAAAAACATCCTACTTGTCCTGTTGTTAATTACTGATGAATATCCACTAACTTCCTGTATTTTTATTATGTTAAAAAAATTGAGATGTCATTATATACAATAACATACACAGATCTTAAGTGTTGTTCAATGAGTAAGGAAAAATAAACAGTAAATTTTTAAAAGAATAAAAATAGAAGAAAATAGGAGGTTTCTTTTGTACTACATACACTCTCCCATGGACACACACACACGCGCGCAGATCATCAGTATCCCTAGAGTCATTTTAAATATGGAGGCAAGTGAAACATATGGGCCAATGGAATTGCATGGCACTAATGAATTCCCAATTGTTTTCTGCAGAGCATTTGATACTTTTTAAAATCAAATCTAATTGAACATTTTAAGATATATTTAATTACATATTAAAATACCTAATGCAGACCTTTGGGCTGTAATAATTTTTCTATGAAATTCCTTTTTGTTCTGAGAATCTGAGATCATATGTTCAGAAATAAGTTGTTTTAAAGATTATTTCTAGTTGGATTTCCTAAGGACATTTTGTTAATGACACAAGTTTTAAAGAGTTATCATCTTCCCTGTTCTGAACTTCTGAAGCATAAATACTTCAAAATAATGCTAAAGTTGAGATAGACTGCAAAGATAGAGATACTAAGCTTGATTTTGTTTTTTCCCCCAGAGGATCAAAATAATCTCAAACCATATATTAACTACTCTCCTGCAATTTCTAATTTACAATCTCTGTCAGTTTTGAGTTATGGGAGCAGCCAAGAGTATCTGAAAACACTTTGTTTCTACTGTACTTTTTTCCCGGTAATATAAATATCTGAAGAGGTTATTGCTTAACCTATAAAACAGTGACATCATAATTTATGAATCCTAAAATAACCCATTCACTTCTGTTAAACTATGTGATGAGCTAGACATGGTGATTTTTCTCAGAGGAAAGGACATATTAAAGAATTTTCCTTGTATCTTTAATGACAGTCTGATCTCATTTTAGCCCCGATTACCCTCTTTCTATCACTAACCATTTGACGGTAACTTTTCTCTTCTTTGTATCTACTTTCCCAAATCAATTAAGTGAAAATACCATCCTATTTCTATTATCTCATGGTATTGCCAGATACCAGGCCATCTCAAACATAGGTTCCACCATGTTGGAAATCTGAACAGGTATGAATTTCCCTAGACTACTGGAAGCTGAAAATTGACGTTGGCAGTTGTAACCAGACTAGAAGGATTACGATTTAGCTGGAATGTTGCTCATTGACAGTGGTTTTATTTGTAACTTGACTCAGCTAGGCGATTAAAAGTAAGCTTTTATTATAAGAATATATGTATAGCTGTTTCCAAACTGTAAACCACTAGTTCTGAAATGTAGACGACAAACCTACAGCAATATCCTATTATCTTGTTTGACTATTCAAACTTAAATCTAATTTAAAGCTTTGAAGAAATGGCTAAAAAGATTTCGTTTCTAATTAGATGATAGTCCAGCAGTGTGGTCAGCAAACAGAGCCTGTTATCTAGTTATAAATTAGTAATAAGAGAAAGCATGGTCTCCATCGACCATTGTATATTATGGAGGCGAATCAAGATATTTTTGTAAAATATTCAGATAGCCTTAGGTCCAAGTCAATAACTAATTCTAAGATAGATACAATACTACCCATTATAATTAGATTGTTTAAAATCACAGACAATTTAAATAGTTTACACGCTTGCTTGCCTATAGGCAATATGCATACAGAAAGTAATTAATAAAACATAATTCACAAGACGATTGACTTTGGCATTCACATTCCAAACTAGGTTAGGGACTTAATAATCTAGTTATTTAATAATTCTGATGCTCAACTTTTTTCATGTTTAAAAGTAGAAATTATAATTATAAAGTGATTGTAAGGAGTAACAGTAAATTATGTAAAGCTCCTGGCATGTCCTTGTTTCAGAATAAATACTCAGAAACTGGCAACTGTATATATTATTAATGACAACAAACAATTAACTACAGGTAGTCTTTTGACTTTTAATAAATATTTACTATGTTTACATAGGAAACCCAAGCATTTTCCTGTTTTGTCATTTGGGTTGTTCTCAGTCAGGCCCAAGTCAGGTGGGTATCTCAGTGTAATGCCAACTCTAATTTGTCTGTTCATAATAGAAATCCTAATGTTGTGATGGCCCCAAAGCTGACAATGACCTTGCCTCAGTCCATCTGTTTTTCTGGTGAGAGTGAGCACTGCTTCTACTGCCGCTGCGTGAAACTGAGATGTGCGGTTTAGATTCTACATTTGTTTCATGGGCTACACTTTTCTTGCTGGTCCAGAAGGAAGGTATAAGAAAAGCATTGACATTCATAAAATTAGGATGAGGAATAATTTTACAGCTTCAAAGGTACCTTTGTGGGGACTTGGCAGTGTACAAAGAGAGCCAGGGACCATTAGTTTATAATTCAAAGCAAACAGAGCCGGGAGTTAAGACTTTCTTTAAATTAGCCGATAGCAGACAACCTAGGGATAGGCTTTATTTATATTAACATCTTGGCATTTATTTTTGAATACAGTTTCTGAATGTTACAATAACCATATCAAAGGAGATATAAATATCCCCAAAGTGACGGGATCATTTCTAAGTGGTTTCACTGAAATCAGCTCTATTGCTACCAAGTAGACGGTCTACAGAAATAAGGATAATCCGTTGTATTGATTTCTTCTGTGACTTTAGGCCAGGACCAGGTCTGTCTTGAACATCCTCATATCCCAGCACATTGTAGGTACTTTAAAAATAACTCATAAATGTCGGCTGAGTAATACTGTCCAACCCCTCTGCACACAGTTGTGGAGATTAGCAAGGACTGGCTGGGGACTTCATACAAACTCTTAAAAGAGCTTTCAACAACAAATACATACGAGAGAGTCCACAATTAGCCCAGCATCTCTATAAACAGTTACTTCAAAGGCAAATACCTCAACGGGAAAAATGTATTTGTCAGCTGGATTACAGAATTTAGAAAGAGAAGCGGCTCTGTCTCTGTTGGAGAAGAACAACTTAACTTCTAGAAATGACTTCACAGCTTGGAGCCCAGAAATGCCTGTCTTGGATTACATTGCCTAATAATTAAACTCGAACGATGTAAACATTGATCACTTTACACTGCACCTCGCAGAAAACAAAAACCCAGACCCTGGCGTCTTGCGAGGAGAGCAGACACCGCACACGCGCACACAGGCAGCCTGTCTACGGTGCACAGGGTCAGGAGGCCCCGGGTCCCGCGCCCGCCCCCGCGGGCGGTGAGCAAACCCTGCCGGGAGCCAGCAGGCGCTGCGTCCGGCGCGTTGGCAGTTGGCGACCCCCCTCGAATCCCCCTCTGCGGCGGGCTCCCTGTGGCCTTTGGAGGCTCGCGAGTCGGCTCCAAATGTTTTCCATATTTGTTCAGCCTGCGTAATTCGAATACCAGGGCCGGCTCAGCCCGCTGCGCCGCGCTCGGGGCCCGGAGCGCACGCACCCACCCACCCAGCCGCCACCCACGCAGCGGCCATGGGCAAGGACGAGCAGCCCCGCGGCCAGCAGAGACGGGGGGGGCCGCCGGCCGCGGACGCCGCCGGGCCCGACGACATGGGGCCGAAGAGCGCAGGGGCCCCCAAGGAGAGCCGGGAGGAGGAGGCCCGGACGTGCTGCGGCTGCCGGTTCCCGCTGCTGCTCGCCCTGCTGCAGCTGGCCCTGGGCATCGCCGTGACCGTGGTGGGCTTCCTCATGGCGAGCATCAGCTCCTCCCTGCTAGTCAGGGACACTCCATTTTGGGCTGGGATCATCGTAAGCATCGAGTCTGTTTTGCTTAAGCGCGTTTGCCAGACAGGAATGCAAAGCGGCATGGCCGAGTCGAGACTAACCCCGCTGCATGCGCCCTTCCCCGGGTCCGCGCCTCTAACCCGCGCCCTGCTTGGTCACTGACGCCTGGCGCGCTTGGGTTTCTGGGGGCGAGGCTGGACGGGTGGGACTTGTGCCCCTCTCCTGCTTGTGCTCGCAACGCCTTCCCCGGGCCCGGCTCCGACTCTGTGGAGCCGGGGAGTTGATCTCAAAGGCTGCTTATTTTGGTCAAAGTGGACAGCCTCAATAACAACAGCAGATTCACTCAGGCTTTTTCCTTATCTTACTCCCCGGACACCACCCCGTCCCCAAAACAGTAGCTAAAAGGGAAGTAAGTTCATCTAGTAAAAGCAGGTGAGAGGAAAAAAAAAAAAAAAAAAAAAGACTACTTGGAGTTGCCACATTGGGAAGTATTACTTTTATTTTTTAAATTGAGGTTCCGTTAGTAAGTTGTATGAAATGATGGGCTAAGGCAGGAAATTTGAATACAGCAAGCACAGCTTTAATCCACTAGAGTCTAAAGTGGGATAAACCCAGGGCGCTGGCTGTGGCAGAAATATCTTTGGGACTCTGCTAATGGATGTACTGTTCTAAGCAGAATACTGCTCAGCTGTTGTGTGTGTGTTGAAACATGTAGCACACTTGGCTTAATTAAATGAATTCTTTAATGTAAAACGGGTGTCATTTTTTGAACACCTACTGTTTGCCTGCCCTTCTAGAGTCCTTACTTATATTTTTTCTAAGCTTCATATCATCCTTACGGGATAATGATTACCCTTCTCAGTTCTCAAATGGGAGAACCTAGCCAGGCTCACCCAGGTTCATGAGTTGGCAAAGGATTCAGTCAGGTTGATTCCTTTTTACAACAGATTCTATCTGCATTTTTCTCATTGAGACACACTGCCACCATATTTATAGTTTTAGTGTTATTTATATCTCAGTGCCCTGTCTCTTATTAAACTCTTTCATGTGCATTATTTCACTTGACCCATGAAACAACACTTTGAGGTGGCAATTGTCACTCCTCTTTGGATGTAAGGAAAATGGGCAAGAGAAGTTGAATGACATTCCCCAGCTCAAAGATTGAATGTGGTAGAATCTGAAGAGACTAGAAACAACACTTTTGACTCCTACTCTCATGTTGCATCATTACTGCTATTACTGACCACACACTGTATAACTAATAACAGACATTAAAGATACCTGGTACATACACATTGATACAGGTATTTTCTAATTAAGATTATTTGAATTCACAAATTTTTGCAGATTTAAAACTTTTAATTTGTGTACTAAGAGTTCCCATAAAAATATCATGATTAGAGTTTTCTAAATCAAGTGATTTCAAAAATAGCTTTTCACTAAGATATACTGGGTATTTTAGTCACCTCAATGACTGTCAACATACTCGGGGGGGGGAATCTGTCCTTTAAAGCTGTGTGAATTTAAAGAAAAGAGAAATGAAACTCATTCAGTGTTTTTGAATATTATTTGCAAATGTGTTTCTTATCTTTATTTCAATTTCAAAAAGCACAACACCAAAGAAGCAAATCAGTTGGTGAATAGCTTGTTTTGATGTTTAAGGCATGAACATACAAACTGTGCAACTCTGAAATTTCATGCACTAAAGTTCCTATGGGATATGATGTTCCTAATTGCCCTGGAAGCTCCCTGGGTGTGGCGCAAAGAGCATTCTATACAGCCAGGTCTCTGTTCTTTCTGGCTTTCTTTTTTGTAATCTAGGATTCATTTGAAGTTTGATCTCAGTTTGTAGCCCTGATGGTATCTGTAATCTTAAATTTTTCTTTCAATAGAAAGTATACAAATCTACAGAGAAGCTAGTAGAGATGTCCTAAAACTAGTGAGGAGGGTCTATGAGAAGCCAGACCAGGGACAGCTCTCATCCCAGCAGGGCCCAAGGTGGGGCAATATGTCACTGTCGCACATAGACACCTTGCTTATCCTGGCCACGCTGCTATGGTTGGCCATAGGGCACTGTTCCAAGCTTTCAGGGAAGGGAAAAGACAGTGCGGCAGCTAGTGAAGTACAGATGTATGAACACCACACCTGGTGGTGAGTCCCAGCTTGACTATTTTTTTCTGAATAACTTTAGACAAATTATTTAACCTCTCTAGGTTTCCATTTCTTTACTGATGAAATCAGAACGATAATAATAATTCCTACCTCTTAGGGTTAAAAATGAATGCATGGAAAGCATTCAGTACAGTGCCAGTGAACGGGAAGATTCAACAAGTTGGCTCTGCTGATTTGCTGCTGATGAAGGCATCACTGGTAGTGTCACTCTTCAGAGGACAAGTGGCTCTATTTCACCTCTAGTCTTGCAGAACAGTCATTCTTGACTTGCTATGTTTCCCAGACCAGTTTGAATCCTGAAGGAGATATCTCAGCGGTATTTGATTAGTCCACTACTTTCTGAATCTCTCTTCAGTTTGATAAAAATGAACTTGGAAGAGAGTGGCCTCTTCAGGGTCACTTTCCCCTCAGGATACTAAGTGATTAAGGTCTGGTGTATTGGGTAGGGATATGCCAGTTTGCCCTCTTCAGGAGACCTACCAGACTGAAACAGTCCAGGTCAATCCATGGGACTGAGACTGAGCCACACTGGCTTCTGGGACACAGACTGAATCCAAGTTGAGTGAGGCACCCCCCTCATCTACAACTTTACATGCCTCACTCTTCTATTTCCCTGTATTCTGGTTTCCTCTTATCATAGGGTAGTTGCTTCCTTTTACAAGGGCTGCTATCCCATTAGCTTGGAATTTGGGTATTGCCATTGTCATAGTAGAACATGGGTATACAGATAATTCCACTTATGTGATTTTAGTTGATCAAGGCCTGAGTGACTTGATGAATAATCATTGAACTTTTGGTTATAGACTACAGAGGCCCTTGGTAATCTATGATCAGAGTTTTATGTCCTGTGGGATATTAGGAAAACAGGCTATTTCTTATCTATCCATAAATATGACTCCACTCCCTCCAAATCAGAGAGATGACTGAAGTCTTTTTATTTTAGTTAAAAAGATTCTTGAAAGGGGAAACATAGAGTGGAGTCACTATGGAGACCACAGAACTTGTAAATGTGCTGTTCACCTCTTAAAATGACTTGAGGGTTATAAGTTACACCACCATGTTGTAAGATGGCTTGAGGTTTGTAAGTTACACCACCAAGACAAAACAAAGTGAAATGGCATCTTTGAGGATGCACTTAGCAAAGGGTAAGGGGTCTTAGGAAAGTGAAGTTTGTTCTGCATTTTATTCTATTAATGACTTGAGTAGCTGAGTCAGATAGGCTCTCAAGTTTGCTCATTTTTTGGAATTTTTATTGATGAAAACATGTATAAGGATTGAAGAAATCTAAGAACTTTGAGGACTTTACTTCTTACTCACATGAGTGCAGTTTGGGTGTAGGTGAAGCATTATGTGCTAAAACTTTGGCTTTTTCTTCTTTGTTCCATAATGCTTGTGGAGGGTATCTGCCAAGCTCTGCATTGGTGTAAACAGAATAAAGCGTGTACCTGGGAGAGATCTCCAGATGCTGATGGTCATGTGCCCTTATCATATCTGACAGTAATGAATACTTCCAATTAGAAAATTTAGCCTACACAAATATTTTTAAAACCCACTTACCTTTCAAAGTATTCTGTGTGCAGTGATTTATATGCTTTGGCATCTCTACTCTGAAGTCGATTTAAGAGCAAACTCTCACTTCTCATCTCCAGTGAAGATATTTAATATTCGTTAGTCTCTTGCCATTGCAGGGAATATTCCCATGGAAGGGAAGAATTTCTTTGCCTCGTTGTATGTTTTAGCTTTCCCCACTCTCCCTCCATTGCTCCCACACCCCGCCCACTGGAATAAAAACCTTGAGATATATACCCATTAATTGCATTAGAAAGCTGAAGGCAAGGGCTTAAAAGAAAAGGAAGAATATTTTCTTCATTTAATGTCATTCATAAAATGAATCATATGAATCTATGATGATAAAAAGTCCTGTCAAGAATTTTGTTAACAGTTTTTATATGCTAACTTACTCTAAGGAATTCAAATTGCAGGTTTATTCAAATTTTAAAAGTCTATTTTAAGTCTTGACTTAATGGAAAAGAAGATTGGTTAGTTATTTATTTTAAAACAGAATATACCAAGACATTCACAAGTAGACATATGACCTATAACAAGTAAAGAACAGATCTAGTTATTACCCATAATTTATAAGGAGAAAGTAAGATATAATGATTTAGTTGTATGGTTTGATCATGGTTGTGAAAAGAAACTGGAAGAGAGAAAGTTTTAGCATTGGGGTTTTGGATAGATCCTTCAACAAGTCAAGAAGCTAAATGTGGTGTCAACTTTCTATATTGTCACTTGAAAAATGTAATCTAGAATTGTATTTTTAGGAATATACTGCATAGTAATACAGTATTATTCATATTGAGACTTTAATATGCTTCCCAAACCTAATATACCATCCTTGGTACCACTGGGAAATAAGTTTTATTATAGCAGCTGTCACAGGATTGTTAAGAACTGAGGAGTGATAATTACATGGTCCAACTCAATCTCCACTGAATACGTAGAATAAATAACGACAGGAAAGTTATCTTATAGGCACATGATATTCTTATAGCATAAAAATGAAATGTAACTGGATTAATTTGGCCAAATAAATTAATTTTAATACGTATATGAAAATAAAAAATAATATTCAATAGTGCAGTGAAATGTTTCCTGAAAGAATTTTGGAATAGAAAAAAGAATAAGAGAGGTTACAATTGAACAAAATAATTAGATGCTCAGAATCATCAGGAGACGTGTGTTTTCACCTTGACCACACTGAGCCAGATATGCACAGACTGAGTGCTTATATAATGAGAAATTTGTCCCTAAATCTTTCTTTTTTAAAAAATAAGGAGGAAAAGGGGCAG